CCGGACGCCCCTCGGCGCCACGCCGGCCCTCGGGCTCCTGCGGGCGGGCCGGGACTCCGGCGGGGGACCCCGGGGCGCCCCCTCCCCGGCCTGGAGGTGGTCTGCGCGCTCCCAGCCACCCAGTGGGTACCGACTCCCAGCGACCCGAGAGGACCGGGTCGAACTGCCCCTGTGAGGTTCCCAGGCTGTAACTGTTTTCGGGAGTGGACTGCCGCCTTTCTCCCAGAGGTGGTCTGGTAGGGTCCTCAGCCACCGTGCTTGGAGTTTTTTTCCCCTTAATTTTTAAAAATATTAATAGGTCATCTTATTGGGGGGCTCCTACAGCTCTTTTTTAATCATGTTATTGGGGGCTCGTACAACTCTATCACAATCCGTACATCCATCCATTGCGTCAAGCACATTTGTACATTTGTTGACATCATCATTCTCAAAACACCCTGCTTGGTTTTGTGTCGAAGTAGCTATCCAACCAAACGCTGGGTGTTTTTTTTGTTTTGTTTTGTTTTGTTTTGTTTTACCATCTCCTTCAGCACAGTTGCCAGGTAGAGTTCTAGTTAAAACTCTCCTGCAGCATTCGTGTGTCTCGATTATGTTTACATCTGGAGAATATGTATTCCAGTGAGTGAAAGGGGGCCTTTTTTTGGCGGAGGGCAAGGTTATTTTTTTTTACAAGAATTAAGAGGTAACCGTATTTACATTGCATGAAATAGCAAACGCGGTTCCTCTATGCAAAAAGTACTGACTACCTGTTAGGTTGTGTCCTCTTGGTTGAAATGTTTTGATGGGTGGTTGAAAAATGACAAAGATGTTGATGTATCCTTTTGGCATTGCCCTTTTTCTTTAACTGGATGTTTTGTGTACCACGATCTCAGTTTTGTAACTGTAAATGTCTACATAGGAATAGATACCTAGAGAGATGCATTGTAACAAGAAAAAGTGTAAAAATGTATACTTAAAATAGGTGCACCAAAATGTTAGCAGCGGTTTCTCTGGTGAAGGGATTTTAGAAAAAATGTCTAATTTCCCTACAAGGACATGCATTACATGCACTTGGTTTTAAGAGGTGGAGGAGGAGTGAATGATAACTTGCAGGGGACTAGTGAGTAAATGCTTATGTAACATCACCCCCATCCTTCTACACTTGTTCTGGGTGTAAATACTGCCCCTGTAGTCTCAGAGGGTTGATCAGCCTAAGAAATGTGCACCTCCCTAACATTATTGTTACCCTTTGGCCAAAGATTGAGCCATGGATTGAATTTCACTCCAGACCTGATGACTGGCTAAGGGCTGGCATCTCTGCAATCAGTCAGCCTGGTCTCATGTATGATTTTGATTTTTGCCCCACATTTTCCTCCCATCTCTCCAAGACCACCTGAGCAGTGGGCTCTATCTAGTCCGCACTGGGTTATGGGAGCTGTGATTCATGTGGTCCGTCAGTCTCAGTCCACTAGACAACGATGCCAGTTCTGCCTGCTATGTAAATGCTGATGTCGAGAAAAAGAGCACTGTATAAGACAGGTGAAGAAAACTTCACACTGCATTTCTTTTCCGATATTCCCTCTACCGCACCACTGCCACAGTGCAAAAAACAAGTAGGGAGCCCTTCTCTGATATTAAGCTACTTGCATGAATTGGGGTGATCACTTTCTCTGTTTCCAAAATGAAAATAAAGGATCGAAAGTGCATACTTAAAATCAGATTTGTGTTCAGATCCCAATCCTCTTGCATGCTGTCTAACCTTGAGCTACATATTTGACTTTACGCTGTCTCAATTTCCTTACCAGGAGTACAAACTCTATCGTTCAGATTCAATAAGATAGAGTATGTTAGCAGTCTAAACATAATAGATAATCATTTTTATTTTACTGTTATTTTAAGTCCCTTAACAGTTAAAAGTCTGACTCAGGTTTAGTGACTAAAATTATTTACTTTCCTTGTGGTTGAATACATTAATGTAGACTTATGCTCCCATTAAGGCATCCTGCTGGTGGTGTGATGGTTACTTGTTGAGGTGCCATCCACATGATTGGCAGTTCCAGACCACTGGGCTTTTTACTCCTGTAAACAGTTACAGTCTCTGAAACCCAGGAGGCCGATATGGCCAGCATTGACTTGATGGCAGCAAGTTTGGCTTTGGTTTGGTTGCATAGTGGTTACATGTTAGGTTGCTAACTACAAGGTCCATAGTTCAAAATCACCAGCCTCTCCACGGGAGGACAGGGCTTTCCACTCTCGTAGAGAATTACAGGGGCAGTTCTACCCTGTCCTGTAGGGTCGCTATGAGTCAGAATAGCCTCAATAGCGGTGAATTTGTTCTTTTACTTATATACTCCTATTTTGGTGTCAGGATATAGTTGCAATAAATTTAATTCAAAGCACACATACAAAGGGCCTTCAAAAGGTTAGTGGAAGAATTCCATTGTCTTTTGGGGGGGCTCTAATTCTTTTTTTATCATTTTATTGGGGGCTCGTACAACTCATCACAATCCATATATACATCAGTTGTGTAAAAGCACATTTGTACATTCTTTGCCCTCATCATTCTCAAAACAGTTGCTCTCCACTTAAGCCCTTGGCATCAGCTCATTTTTCCCCTCCCTCCCCGCTCTCCCCCCCTCATGAGCCCTTGATAATTTATAAATTATTTTGTCCAATCTTACACTTTTTTTAATGTTGCACTTAAAAACAAGTTTATTTTAGCAGATGAGTTTTATTCTATTCGGTGTCTGTTTATTGCATTCTGCATTTTATTTTAATAATACATTTGTATTTGTCTCTTCTATGTCTGATAGCTTATTCATTAGCTTGTCTAGCTGACTCTTTGGGGTGCGGCTTGCTGCTACCTGGGCGGAAGATAGAGTCGGGTGGGTAACTAGAACGTGGTGAAAACCTGGAGCAGTATGTAGCTTCCCAGCGGGCTTTACTTTGACTCAGACTTTGGTCAGCTTGTCTTCCTCATCCTTTTCAAATCCAGAGCAGACGACCGACCTTCCCTTGGGATACTTGGCACAGCACTTCCGCAGGTCTTGGATAACAGCCTGGCATTTAGATTCCATGTAGTTGTTGGCTTGTAAGCATCTCTGTATTTCACAGGCCTGTTTCTGGCATGGGTCCTGTGGCATAGCCAGGGAATGTTTAAGGACCGAATCGCAGAGACTGTCTGTCCTCTGGCTCCCAGCGCTGTCCGTTGGGGCACGGCCACGCAGGCTCGGCCGCATAATAGGCGCCTGTGCTGATGGAGACGTTGCCAACCCGGCCGCAGTCAGCACCTCGGACAGACCAGTCCACATTCCATGGCCTTTCCGTTACATGTTCCCGCAAACTTTGTGAAGCCGCCTCATATATAACTTTTAGCGCTTAATGCAGTTTCTTCAATCGAATATGCACTTAATTCATTCTATATAACTTTCTAGTTGATTAAAGATCTGGCACCATTGGGTTCTGACACCTCTACATGAGTTACTTTTGCCTATATGACTTCTTCCCTTTTATCTACAGGCATGTTTCGTTTTTGTTTTTTTACTGCTGGGGAATATATGATTCAGCTTTGATCCCTCCAGTATTAAGGATTACACTAAATAAATCAGTAGAAGGTAGTCAACGAATTAGTTCCTTTTGTGGCATTTTGTGTGAATTTGACTGTACCCTAGTTGCTACACCTGCTTTGTTCTCCGAGAAATGTGAATGAGAACAACAACAAAAAATTTCCCCATGAAAATCACTTCTGTTCTTCTATGTGATCAATACGATTTATGAAAATTACACTTTAAGGAAATGTACCAGCTTGAAGCCCGTATTGAAATGGTCTTAATTTTAGGAACTGTGCCGATGAAACTCCTTAAAGGGTGCCACAGGTACAATATATTGAATAAGCATACTACATAAGCCTTATTGTAGATATGTAGTCTTCACAATGGCGTCTCATTTAAAAATGGTGGGTTTTTCAACCTTACTAATAGAAAGAGAACGGGAATTGGGCTCTGCATTTAGACTTGACTAGAAACATACTTCCAAGCTATAGAGAGAATGTTGAGTTTTTCTTTTATGAGTTAGACTTTCCTACGGTGCACACATTTCTTGTTACTGATACTTTGTGGGTTAGAAAGAAATAACAATGTTAAGAATTACCGTTTGTAACATATCTGGCCTTTCCCCCCCCCCCCCTTCTTCTTTAGATTGAAAAGATATGAATGAATATCCCAAAAAAAGGAAAAGGAAGACTCTACACCCTTCCCGTTATTCAGGTCAGAATATCATTGAAAGGTTTTCAAGTTGAGTCACAAATTAATTCTGTTTCCTGTGATATTGTTTTCCCATCCATTTTCGCAAATGAACAGAAAAAGAGTTAACTATCTTCATTTTCGGGTCAGAGAAAAATTTAAATAAACTTTCTCATTGTCTACATGTGCCTGGAGACATGAGAATTTTGTAGACATTTTATTTTATCGTTACAGTTCCATGGATTTTAAATACGAATATTTAAAATTAGGTATCTGAGGTTGCATACTCGTCTGCCTCCTCCCAAGCCTATACTCAAGCCATAATAACCTTAGTAGGCAATGCTTTTTATCATTGAAAACAAAAACAAGCTCATTGAATCTAAATATCATCCCTGTAGGACAGGGTAGAGTTAACCCTGTGGGTTTCTAAGACTGTAACTCTTTACTGGAGTGAAAAACCTCCTCTTTCTCTCACAGAGCAGCTGGTGGTTTCAAACTGCTGACCCTGTGGTTAGCAGCCCACCACTGCATAACCTACAACAAACACCACCAGGGCTCCCTGATTTTCAGGAAAGCGCTTGAGGATCAGTTAGGACTTCTGAATATTATAATTGCCTCAAGTCTTGCCTAGGTGGCAGCATTAAGCAACAAACCAAGCTTAATTTCCTCTGATGTGAAGAGCATGTAGCCTGCATGGGCTAATAGTGTGCCTGAGGCTGCCCCAGCTGGATGCGATGTGTTAGTTTGAGATGGCCACAGAAACCCCTTTTCTTATGCTGCGGAGACAGCAGAGCCAACCTCCATCGGGGGCTCTAAAATTGCACAATGAAAATGAAAACTCAGTGTTTAAAACAATGTATAGAGTTAAAAACTTTTTCACCTAATGTACAAAATTAATGGGAAAGAATCTCTATCCTGTACACTATCTTCCAAAAATGTGAACTTTCATTTTGTTTGTTTATTTTAAGATGTTTTGGCAGTATAGGAAAAGGAAGGCTCTGTGGATCTGAAATAGAAGGACTTTTTAAATTAAGGAAAATACTAATACTTTATTACAGGATCTATAATTAAAATTTTAAAATTACATAGGTTGTATAAAAGAATGGTTGTAAGTAAATACTGTGTTAGGCAGGGTTTTCTAGAGAAACAAAACCATGACACTTTTGATTTTAGTTAGATAGATAGATAGATAGATGATACATAGATAGATAGTTAGATAGATAGGTTTATACAGCATGAAGGAATATAACAGCCAATTAGTCCACACAGCAGTACAGAAGACTCAGTTCAACTCACTTCTGTGGAACAGTTAATGTACTGGAAGTCCTTCAACTCATGAAGGCTGCTGGGTCCAAGGTCAAGGAAGCAGGCAGCAGATATCCCTAGGCAATATAGGCAGAGTCCACCTACAGGTCGCAAATAGTAGGGCCAGTCACGGCCACCAACAGTCAGCAGCTCTGGAGCTTAGTGAAGCAGGCCTGGATGGGATATCGAGCTCAAGCAATGCAAGACAGGATCCAGCAGCCTCAAGCCAACGTGGCATACACACTGGCAGCATGGCAGAGCAGGTCCGTCACAAATACGTACATGTTACTGTGCTCAAAATGTTTCTCTGCTTTCTTTTATATTCAGATTCCTCTGGAATAAACAGAATTGCAGATGGATTCAGTGGGATTTTTTCTGATCATTGTTATAGTGTCTGTTCTATGAGGCAGCCAGATCTGAGATATTTTGATAACAAAGGTATGTCTATGTTATATTCCAAAATGTTTTTCTTAATGTTACGTTTACTTATTTATTTTTCTTCCTTATTTGAAGATGAGAAAGGTAGGGTGAAAGTAATGGTTTCCAAATAGGTGGGTGTTTGTTATAATTAAAGAAAACAAAGGTTTCTTTGTTTATCTTTTCACTGAGTTGGGTGTGGGTTAAGGTGGATAGAGTACACTATCAGAGTTGGGTGTGGGTTCAGGTGGATAGAGTACACTATCAGAGTTGGGTGTGGGTTCAGGTGGATAGAGTACACTATCAGAGTTGGGTGTGGGTTCAGGTGGCTAGAGTACACTATCAGTTTTACATGCAGCATTTCATACATATTTTGCTTCATCTCATTCATTTCAATCCCCTCAACTCCATCCAGGACTTTCGCATGTGATCCCTTTCGGAGTAGTTGGTAGTGGTAGCCAGGCACCATTTAGTTCAACTGGTCTCAGGGTTGTGAAGATTGATGTTCAAGTGGGCCCTTAGTCTGTCGCACTAATTGTTTGCATGCGTTCTTCTGTTCCATCACTCTTCCTTCCTCTGGACAACGAGAGACTCAATATTTGTACGTAAGGGGGCCATTCATGAACTTTCTACTGACCCCAGTTGCTACTCAGCAAAGTAGGATGCAGAACATTGTCTTTGTGGACTTTGTTGTGTCAGTTGACCATGGTATCTCCCAAGACCTTGGACCTGAGCCCCTGGGCCCAGGGGTTCATTTCCTGAAAACGTTTGTTTATGCTTAAGATGTTTTCATAGCTTTTCCCCATGTGTTCTATCACACATGGACATATGTGTAGCAGAGATAAATAACCATGTACAAATATCCTTGGTTAAGCCTATATATTCATTAGTGTACTCCCACTCTATTCAACCATCCTTAGTACCATCATCATTGAAAGACTGTGCACCATATATATTCGAGTATAAGCCAACCCTAATATCAGCCAGGGCACCTAATTGTACCACAGAAACTACATTAAAACTGTGCTGAGAACTGGACTTATACATGAGTACATATGGTATATAATGGTTTTATTTCTATTGCCTATAAGTTTGCATTCTGCCCTATGTCTTTCCTTGCCTCTATTGTTTGGGTTTTTGTTTTTTCAAAAGCAGCTAAGTGAGTTTTAATATCTTAAATTATCTCAGACTTTCAGACTTAGAAATAAAAATCTCGCTCACCTAAATCCATTTGTATTGGGTAGGACTTGATAGCAAAGCAGGAATGGTCCAGACCTGGGGCACATTTGTAGTAAAAGGTTAAGAATAGATGTATGCACAGCTTTAAAACCGAGCCATACCATGCAGTCTAAGGAGTTAATGAAAAGAAAGAAGAGATGAAGGATTAGGTGTTTTCCAACTTGTATCCGTATTGTGGCTCCTCTTTATTAGAACAAAGCTTCTTAAATTGTGGGTCATGACCCCACAAGGGGGAAGATGACTGTGAATCGGGAAAAGTTTGGCAACAGTTTCTGAACTCGAAACAACCCCAAATCCAAAACCTACTGCATAATGAATCCCAGGTGTTTTTATTGACAAACAGGAGTTGGGAGTGGGGAAGGTATAAGAAGCCCTGTTCTAGAGCATTCGGCGGGTGATAAGAACAACTTACACTTGATCTCTTCTTCCTTTGGAATCACGTAAGCTCCCAATTCATTGAGCTCCTATACTGGAAGTTTTATTTACATAGAAATTGTAAATATAATGAGTCATCAGTATGAACTCATAATGTGCGTGTGTGCACAGGTTAGTATATACACATACTTTTTGCTGTTTCAACTACAAGTACATTTTTTAAAATGCCAAACCTGCAATATTTTTTTTATCATGTTTTTTTGTTTTGTTTTGTTTTTTTCTCTTTTTTTATTTATAAGCAGTTCAATTTCATTCTTTTTTTTTTTAACATTTTATTAGGGGCTCATACAACTGTTATCCCAATCCATACACACATCAATTGTGTAAAGCGCATTTGTACATCTCAAAACATTTTCTCTCCACTTAAACCCCCCACATTAGGTCCTCATTTTTCCCCTCCCTCCCCGCTCCCCCCTCCCTCATGAGCCCTTGATAGTTTATAAATGGGTATTTCCTGCAATATTTTTAAAATGCCAAACCTGCACACATAATGTCCAGATGTTTATTTCTAATACTGTTCTTCAATAAAAGTTAGTTATCGGTTTTGGTTTGTTTTCCAATAGCTCCTTGGAGAAATAGCTGATTCTAGAACTGGGGCAGGAAATCTACAGGATGAGCTGGTGTACGATGCAGGGCCAGAAAGTGTGGAAGTGCTCAGAACAAAACCCATTGCTTAGAGGGGCACTGGAGCACACAGTAGCCAAAGCTGGAACCTTTGAGAAACAACAAAAATAAAGTATTGGGTTATAAGCCAAAGTATAAATAAATCCCTGTTCAAGCTGATATTTTTTAAAAGATCAAATAAACAAATGGGAGAGAAGAAAGAAATTTGTTATATATAACAGTTCCTAATTATGTATGCAGGTGTGCCTGTCTCAAGGCGATGGAACTACTTAAGAGTGGGCTTTGAATATTGATTTCCTTCCAAAGCATGCAGTATACAAAAGGGAAAGGGTGACCTTACAGAGGACAAACTTGAGACATGATATATTAGGTAATCAAGGTTATCGTCAGTATTCAGAAGTCATAATAATAATATGTCCTGTTCATACACTATCATGAAAAATGGCACTTTGTGTTGTCTACGTCCTGGTAACCCAAACTCCAGTCTTACTGTGAGAAGAACATCAAGCACATTCCATGAGTAAGGCATTCTGCAGAATACCTGACCAGTACTCCTGAAAACTGTCATAGCCCAGACGCCTAGGAGATCAGAACCAGATGTCATCCAGTACTCCTGGTGAGATCCTGGAAGAGAGAAGGGACTTTAGCTCAAAATTAAGAATACCTGATTAGAGTATGGACTTCCCCCCAAACCAAAACCCATTGCTATTATATACATTCTGACTCATAGAAACCCTATAAACCAACAACCAAACCCTCCAACTCAGTAATCCCATGAGGCAGAATAGCATTGCCCCATAGAGTTTCCATGGCTATAATCTTCAGAGGCTGATGGCCACACTGGCTACATCTTTCTCCCCTATGGCAGCTGGTGGGCTTGAACCACCAGCCTTTTGGTTAGTAGCCAAGTGCCTACCCACTACACCACCAGAACTCCCTAGCAAGAACTTTTATAACAATGTATCGGGCAATGAATGTACAAATGTGCTGTACACAATTGATGTATGTATGGATTCTGATGAGTTGTATGAGCCCCTAATAAAACGATTAAAAAAGAAAACCCCCAATGTATCAGTTATGTCAGTGTGTTAATAATTGTAGCAAGTATACTTTACTAATCTAAGAAGTTCATGGCAAAAGAAACAGTGTAGGTTATGTGGTAATTTGTTGTAGAATCTTACAGAAGTCTAGTATGAAACATCATAAAAGCCCAATATTCTCTTAGAAAAACAGCCTTTTGCCATAAAGTCACGTCAGACCTGATAGGACAGGACTACCTGTAACCCCATGGGGTTTACAAATCTGACCTTTGCAAAGTAAACTACCACGTCTTTCTCCTACAGAGCGGTCTTGAAACACCAACCTTGACTTTTCGGTTAGCAACCAAGCCCATAACCACTGTTACCCCTAGGGTTCCTTCAGTCTTCTCGACCGACCTTTATCTCCATGGGCGTTAGCACTCCAGCTTTCAATTCCCAAGGCAGTATCATGGGAGTAAAGACTCATTCAAACTGAGTAATATAAATATAAATTCCCATTAGAAGGCATGTTCTAGTCCAGATGGCGCATAGAAGCAAAAGCAACTCTTTGGGCAGACCTGTGTGGCTAGGGTGTCATCTCTTGTCATGACTCAATCTAAGGTCTAAATACTTTGTTATAAATAACAAGTCCTTTTCAAAATCCTCTTTTCCAGATGACGATTCTGATACGGAACCATCAAATGACTTGCCAAAATTTACAGAAGGAATCAAAGCCAGGAACAGAAATCAGAACTACCTGGTTCCTAGTCCAGTGCTTAGAATTCTAGACCACACTGCCTTTTCTGCAGGTCAGAGAACTAATTCAAATTATTTATATATATTTTTGTGTCAATCAATGAAGAAGCAGTTTATTCTTTTTTTTTCTTTCACTCATTTTATTGGGGACTCTTACAATTCTTATCACAATCCATCCATCCGTTGTGTCAAGTACATTTGTATATGTTTTCAAAACATTTTCTTTCTACTTAGCCCTTGGTATCAGCTTCTCATCCCCCCCCCCTCATTAACCCTTGATAATTTATAAACTATTATTATTTTTTCATGTCTGACATTGACTAATGTCTCCCTTCACCCACTACTCTGTTGTCCGTCCCTCAGGGAGGTGGGTGTATGTAAATCATTGTGATTGGTTCCCCCTATCTCCCCCCACCTTACCCTTACCTTCCTGGTATCACTACTCTCATTATTGGTCCAGTTATTCTTTTTGTGTGTGTGTGATTGAGTGAGGCAGTGCGTGAATGACTGAGGCAGTGAGAGAGTGAGGCAGTGAAAGTGTGAGGCAGTGAAAGTGAGACATAGAGTGAGAGTGAGTCACTGACTGAGGCACTAAGAGAGGCAGTGAGTGAGTGAGAGAGAGGCAGTGAGGGAGTGAGTGAG